TTCAAAGAAAGCTTTTAGTACCTGTTTTCTAATTTCTTCCAAACAGTCCCCTGAAGCTGGAGGGACAGGTCAAGGGAGCTCCACAGCATTGGCCTGGGGCTGCTGCTTAAATGCAATGCAATGTAATCGGCTCACCTTCTCTTAGAGCTGGCTTCAGCCTTCTCGCCAACTCCATCACTAGCACACAGCTAACCCAATGACTGCTGGGGCTTGGGGCTCCTGTTATGTGACTCGAGAGTCTCATTTGCAATCACCATTAACCAGAAAAGCCGCATGGCTGCTCCGAGCCAGCAGTGTCATGCAACATTCACGAGTGAGAAGGGCTGCAAGAGGCTGCAGGGAAAGCCTTTAGAATAGGCTTACAGAATGAACATCACCAGCTTCCCTGTCCCCCACCCTCACCCCAAGCCTTCCCTGGACCCTCTAAAGCACTATGAACTATGAAGAGAACCCTAGGCAGCAGAGGGAAGATGAGGAAATTTCCACAAGACTAGGAGTGAGACCTCAGAGGTGGTTGTGTCAATGAGTGGAGTAGCCCACACACTAGCTATTAAACAATTTTGTCAGAAGCCTTTAACTGCTTTCAAATAAGTATTCGGGCTGAACACTCCAAGGCCACCTCTAAATCTCTAAAAACAATGTTCAGGTCTTTAGCCCTCATTCAGCTGCCTGCTGTGTTGTGCCAGGCTGAGTTAGTGAAAGGCCCCCAGTGGCCTGATTTCAAAAGATTATCCCACAAATGGTAGAGGTGATGTTTGGGTTTGCCACACATCTCTCCCTCCTCCTTTGATGATGCCCCTCCTCCCCCTAGGCAATCCTCCCTTCTTCCCCCTCCCAAAGTCACTCATACCTCATCCACATTAATCAGGGCAGACTTAGAATGGAAGGCATGTGGACACTTCCTGTAGTGGTACTAAAGTGCCCTAATTTTAGATCAGTAGTTGTCAGGGACATAAATGAAAACCACCAGTGTCCCTTTTGCTTCTCCCATCGTGTGCCTATGTGTGTGCGTGTGTGTGTGTGTGTGTGTGTGTGTTTGTCTGTAAACCCAAGCCTGATCAGTTATGGAGTGGGGAGCTTACATATACCCTTATGCCTGGCTGCCAGGGAGGGTACTGAGGGTCTCAGCAAATGATAGTGGTACAGTGAGAGGCCTTAAGGAAGTTTGCCAGAAAGCATCTTGCGGATCTTCTTTCAGAAACTCATTTATCAAAGACTGTGGTTGAGAGGCGGAAGTGGCCCAGCCCGTCTCAGCTCAGCTCCAGCCAGCCTGGGAGGTGCTGAGAATGACCCCAGACAGTCTCTGACCAACCCTATAGACTCTTCCCGGGAGAGGCCTGGATGCCCAAACTGCTAGCCCACCTCTCGAAGGGCATCTCTCAAGACTGGGCAGAATGGAGGACTACCTAAGGCAGGCGTCAGAGAAGCAGTTAGGCCTTCGGGAGAGCAGTCAGGAGGGAAAGGCTTTCTTGATTTGGAAACAAGCAAAGAGCCCAAGGGAGAAGGGAGTGCTGCATCAGGACCAGGCGCTGGACCAGCAGTGCCAGGCGGATGCTTCCTGGCCACATTTCAGTAACCTCTGTGAATGAAGATGCAGAGGGCAGCCAGCCAGGAACACTGGCTCCTTTTTATGGGGTGGAAAGGAGAAATGGAGGCCATCATCTGGAGCCTTAGTCTGTGCAAGGAGCCATCCTTACAGACAGACAGATGGACACAGGGAATCACTTACACTTCATCAAGGGGCTCTGCGGCTCATCCTACCTGGCCTTTCTTAGACCTGAGGTCCCTCAAGTTCCAGGCCAGATACTCTAAATGTCCCTATTAATTATGGAGGGCTGAGGCTGGGGGGGGGGTGAGCGGTAATAGCTTTAACCAGGGTTTCTGCATTCCCTGGAAGGCTTCTATCTTCCATTTAGAAGGAAAGGCATCAGCTTGCTTGCAGGAACCCCACGCTACTGAATAATCACTATAATAAGATTGAGAATGAAGGTGACCTATAGAAGCATGGTAAATACACGATTTTCTCTGCTCAGTAAGTGAATTTTGATGACAACTCATTGCTTGCCTCAGGACCTTAAAGCCCCATGAACATTCTGGAGAAAGTCCAGAAAAGGACAAATTGCAAAAATGCTTCCACAAAGAAAAACACAGTCTTCCCAGCCTTCTTTGAGTTATGCACAACCTAGATAATTGGAGGCAAGGTTGCAGTCTCCTGTCCTTGGTCACCATTTCATGTACCAGCCTGTCATACACAGTGCAGGAAAGCACCACAGATCAATAGCTATTCTGGGTTAACATGGACACAGATTTTTTTTTTTTTGAAAGAATTTCCCCCCTACATGGATCATAGTGTATTACATCCAAAGGGTACTTCTGTGGTCTGTCTATGGAGATTAAGGCTTAGATGGAGCACTTTTCTTTTGAGGTTTTATGCACTTTTTAATGTAAGTGATGGGGCTAGCAGTGGTCTTAGGGAATTGCTGCTTTACAAGCACTGCAAATGGCTGCTAGCCCATAGATATTAGGAGCAGGTAAAGCTCACCCGATGGACCACCCGGACTCTGGAGTAGCAGGTGGTGTTTGTTGAGACCTCCGCAAAGGAGGCCTGGGCTACAGGGCTCCCCTGCCTGGCGCAGCCTTTGTGAGTCCTGTGTGCTCTGCCTGCCTCCCCCACCCCAACCCCCGTAGTATTAACAGCACTCTGCTCGCTTTGTTTACCTGTGGTGATGCTCCCCTGAGCAAAATCTCTAAGTGGGGTTTTATGGGAAATGAAAAGTCAAATGAGAATGTATGTGAAAATGTGAACTACGGAAAACAGCCTCTTAAAGCTATGTCACCTATTTTATTTTACTGCTTCTATGATTTCTAAGTTGGCTAAAGGTTTTATGTGACAACTTTGGAAGTTCCTAAATGTAACTTTTAAGAAATGATATGCAGTACATTTTCTTTTTTTCATTTGAGGAAAGTGTTAGAAAGCACCTCCACTTTTAATATCTCTCCTCAGTGTCACACAGTAGTGTGAGGAGGTAGGATAAATATTTCTATGTTCATTCTGAAAGTGAGGAAGGGAAAGCTCAGAGGTTGTCATTCGAGGTCACACAGTTGGCCAGAAAGGAACCAGGATCTGCAGCCCTGACTTTGGACCTGGACTTTGTTTCCAGAAAGCAGGACTTTTGGTCAATGTCCAGACAGACTCCACTGAGCAGTACACACACAGGCTTGTCACCCCCGTTCACTTCAAGATCTGAGCACCCCTTCCTTCATCATCAGCTGCAGTCAATGAACCATATAAATTCAAACTTTGGAACCACTAAGTCTCATAAAAAATGTTTAAAGGTATTAAAATGCAAAACAGGAGTAAGCAAAATTTCTTGCCACAGGGAACTAACTAATGTAAAGTGACAAAATAATGGGAGTTGAATATGGGCTCAAAAGTACCCATACAATGGAATTCAAAATCATATTTTAATATGTATACCATACATTCCCCTTGCTAAGGATGGCTGGTAGTGAATTTTCATTGATAGACATAAGCCATGAAGAAAAAAGAAAGAGTGGGATGAAGGAAGAGAGAGGAAGAGAGTGTGAGAAAAAAGGGAGCAATAGTGGCTGAGTGTGAAGGTGTTGGTCACCCCTTGGGTACAAGGAAAGCCAGTTCCTAGGACAGGCACCCCACGGGGGTTCCAAGGCAGTTCATCACCCCTCCACCCAGAACTCACCACAACAGCTGCCCCAGGAGCCCAGGCAGCTCTCCCACCTAAGGAGTTCTAGGAATGAGGGGCCAGGGGCACCCATCAGTACTGACCAGCAAGGATCGGGCTGAAAGAGGCTGACTACAGTTTATAAAGTGATGAGCACCCGGCAACACTCTTCCTGCCCCAAAACGAGAAGACAGATTTATCCTCAGATTGTTCCAGCACTTACACAGCAGAAGTGCCCTTCGCCGTCACTCAGCCCTGAGTAAAGTAAGGAAAGCAAGGTCCCAAGGAGTCCATCCTTTATTTTAGGACAGAGCTAAGCTGGTTCACTTCACCTCTGGGGAGTTCAGGGGGTCCTCCAGTCAACCCTTAACCTGCCACACTGCCCTCAGCCTCCCTGCCGCCCCCTAGAAGGTGACCATTCATTGCCTATCAGTCTTGGCTGTGCGTGTATCTATCCTCCCCCATGTCTCATGTTTGGCTATTTTCTTAAAAGGCATTGACCTGGAGGCACAAAAACAGAATCAGAGATGCCAGATGCGCAGTTCACCAGCCTCAGGCAACTCAGCACCCATAGCCACCTGCAGTGATTCAGGCAAAGCAGCTCGGGAAGGGTTTTATTATTATACAATTAAAACAAATCTACCTCTTCCTGTCTTCAGTGTGAGGGACACATCTAGCTAGCAAAAAGGAAAGAAGACAAACTCCTCACACCCTCTCACTCTTTGTCTGTGTCTCTCTGTCACACACACACACACACACACACACACACACACACACACACACACAAGGAAACACACTTTGCAGAAAGAGGCCCCTAGCTAGCTCCCAGATCTGGGTCTGGGCTACTCAAGGGTTAGCTGGGAGCTTCCAAAATCCCTGAGCTTGCCTGTTTTTCCAGACACTTGGGTAAGAATGCAAATTGGGTAACTTTTCAAATCTTGAGTGTTCCCTAACACTTGTCCACAAATATTTGGGAGGGGAAGGGGACACCCCCGCTGCCACCGACACCGCTCTCCTTTCTGACCCCCACCGGGCTGGGGCTGACAGGGGCGGGGGTGGGAGGGGAAGGGGGGAAGGGAATTAGACTATCACTCAGTTGTTGCTAGTCAGGGGCACCAGTCACCAAGAGCTAGAAGGAGCGCAGGCAACATCTCAGGGTGCAGACACCTTCCTAGCGGCAGCGAACGAGCTTTTGCCTGGAGCTGCTGGTGCGCGGGGGTGGGGGGGTCGCGGACGCGGCGGGGAAGGGCTTGAGCCCCAGCCGCCCGAATATCAAATGATAGAGAGCATTAAACTCACCTTTAGGTTGTGTGTGGGGTTTACGACGCAGACAAGTTGCCCGGCAGCGGAGAAAACCCGTTTAGCCTTGTAGTGCTGAAAGCGGAGGTGAATGAGATCTAACACAGCCCCAAAGCACTGGGTAAAGAAAAGCATCACAACTTTTGGGGGGTTGTGGGCACAAGAAGGCAGCCGAGGAAGCCAGAAGACCTTGGGCTGTGGCAAGAGCGCAGCCTCCGAGACACTCCGCTCCAGCCCGGCTTAGCGTGCCTTCATATTCATCATCAAAATAAGACGGTTAGAATCTTGCAGCAGTGAGGCGGCCAATCAAAAGGACAGAAATGTTATCCTTGAGATGCAGAGACAGCCAATAACAAATGCCTCCCCTACCGAAACTCCCTGATGAATTGAGCCTGGCGGAGAATGTATTATTGAACATTACCATAGATCAGCACATTGCATTTATCTTGTGATTACAGCCAACCATACATAATGCTGGGGAGATAGGCTGACAAAATTGATTGCTTAATGTGTCTCCATTTATTAATTGACTTAATTTAACATGAGAGCCTTTCTTAATGCGCTGGCGAAAACGTAAAGCGTTTAAACCGCCAAATAGTAAAACACCCTGCTCCAAAGTAGGCAGATGGATAACGCAGACCGTGGCTCGACTTGCAGGAGCTGTTTGGGAGAAAATCAAATATTACAAGACGACTCAGATTCCAGATAAGGATTTGGCAGCTGCAGAAATGTGCATCTTTCAATCTTGTGCTCTGATTCTCTCTCTCTCTCTGCAATTTGGATTTCAGCCCCTTGATAAATCTTACTCTCCCCTCTTCATCAAAAGAAAAGTATTCCAGAGAAATAAAATGCATTTGGAATTGAGAGGAAACATGTATATCCATACTACTGTAATTACTGAAGCCTGAAAATATTAAAGCATAAAACCTCGCAGAGTATGCTTCTAAAAATAATGAAATCCTTGATGCATGAATGCACACACAGAAAAACCTACAAAGAGAGGAAAGTGGCTTGTAAATCAGCAAAATAATTACAGATGCTAAAGGCCTTTGCTTGTCATTCATTTGCATATTGGTGGGCAGCAAATTGCTAATTAACCACTAAATTGTTGGAGACGATAAAATAGAGATTAAGAGCACACATACCACACCATTTGCTTGTCTCTGTGATTGCTAGAAGCACATTTCTGCGCAGGAGCAGGCAGAGGGCATTCCAGTCCTCAGACTGCACTCCCCCTGTCTCCAGAATGGGACAGGGGGGACCTCTAAACTCACCCACTGCTCAGGGAGAAAGGTTCCTGAGCTGTGCCAGAGATTTCTTAGCCTTCTGGCTATAGCAGAAATGAGCGAGTCTCCCACTTCTTTGTTTGTTTTATTTTTTTTTAATCGAGAAAAGAAGTCAGTCCAGGCCCCCTGTGTCTGGGAAAGTGCCTGTGTGAAGGGTGCACCCAGCGTCAGCCCATTGCTCCTTTTTGAAGGGCTCTTGCCCTGCTCTGCCTCTAGGGCTTGGGATGTAATGTATGCACAGCATAATCACTGCCGGGACCCTTGTGTCTGTGACCTGATCAGGCAAATAAACCAACAGATTTAAATATGGGGGGGAGTAGAAAGTACATGGGTTTATTGAAGTCAGAATGGAGCTCAACTTGAACTTAAAATCAAGCCAGTGTTTTAGGAGACAAATAAGCCAAGTATCCAATTAATGAAAACTTTGTACTTTCTAAAACCATTGCACTGGCACAAAAATAGAAGGTAATAATATTGGAATTAGCACGTCATCCATGGAATACTTGTATAGAAGAGCCCCCTGACCCAAGCATTATATGGTTCATAAATAAACGTGGTTGGCTCACAACACCAGAACGCACTTTCTAAAGTTTTCATGTTCCAGAACAAGCTTTTAGCAGTTCAAGCAGGAAAATACTTGGTTTCTCTTATTGTTTTACATTAAAAAAAAAAAGTGAGCATGTATCCCTCTACTCCCTCAGATCCTTAACAACACAATGCATAATTCAGGAAAGTCCAGATGTCCCTTTTTCCTACCCTTTTGTGTGATTGAAATGGTCACGTTGCTTGTTTCTCCCTTTGTGTCCTCAAACAGGTTTCCTAAACTTACTTGGGCACAGTCCCCACATATTACAATGAGACCACAGAAATTCATTTCTCTGTCAGGATCATTGTGAAAATAACATGTAGTATCTGGAGAGACTAGCTCAGTGCCTGTCCCAGAGCAGCCTCCCACTGCTGAGTCCACTGAGTATGTTGGGCAGCAGGATGGTCTGGCGACACGTTTTGCCTTTCTTGCTCCATACTGCCCTTTACCCTCCCTGCTAGTCGCTCTTCCCTCCAGGGCCATGCAGGAGAGTGGGTAATACAAGTGAGCTTGGCTCCTGCTATGTTCTTAAGGGTCCATGTTTCTTGTGTCACCCAGAGACAGGCCTGGGCATGCAGGCTGAAGGGCTTGGGGTGCCGGTGAGCATGAGGGTGAGAACAGTGCCAGGTGGGTGCTAGATGGGCAATTAGGGTGACTTTTCCTTGGTCCCAGACCTGACCCCTTCTTTTTTCACTTCAGAACCGGTTTCCATCTTCTTTAGAATATCAAGAACACCCATCTGTTCTCAAAGCCAGTCTTCAAAATAATCATTCCTTGGGCAGCATTTGGAGCAGAACCTCATAAGAAATGTTCCCGTTTAACGTTAAAGGGAGAACAGGGTAGAGCCAACCTCAGGATGAGATTTAGAGCTGTGCCCACCCCTTATCACTAAGTTGGTCACACAGTAGCCACACTAATCCCCCATGTTTTACCACCATCCAAGGGCTTCCCCTTCCCTTACACAGCTACCAAATTTATATCTATATGGGCTGGAAAGTTTCTGGTTTTGCTAATTATACAAAAAAAAAAAAAAAGTGGCTTAAACCCGACCTTATTGTTTCTTGGGACAAATTATTAAATCACACTGATAGTTAATTTTCTCATTTGTAAAAAGATGCTAATAACTCCCTTAGAGGGTATTTTAAAGTTTAAATGAGATTATATAACATAGGTAAGATTGCCAGCCCAATGTCTGGTTTTCATAGTAGCTTTAGTAAGAAGCATTCTTCTTCCTCTTCCTCCTTTCCTTTTCTCCCCCTGCTTCTTTCTCTTTCCTCCTTCCTTTTTTTTTGTTGTTCTTGTCATCAAAAATATTTTTGTTTAAGTCAACATGAAATGCTGGTGAGGACATGAAACAAGCAAAACACTCATACCCTGCTGTGTGGGAGCATCTTAAAGCTAAACACATATTCCCTTTGACAGTTCCATGTGCCCAGTGGAAATGTGAGTCTGTGTTCATCAAAAACTTGTCCTGGGATTTTCATAGCAACATATTCATAGTAGTTGCAAACTAGAAATAACCTAAGTATCAACAGTAAAATTATTTTTCCTTTTTTTGTTAAATCTACATAGAAATGAGAAGAATCAACTATTGCTAAGTACCACTGTAATGTGGGTGGATCTCACAGATAGGATGTTTAGGCAGAGCAATCAGACAGTGAAGGATCTACTGTGCGCCATCCCAGTGATAGGAAGTTAAGGTGCAGGGGAAAAGTCATCTATGGTGTGGGGAATCATGGGACTAGTGGCCTCAGCAAGGGTTAAGATGGAAGAGGAGGGGAGGTAGGTTTTAGAAAGCTAGATATATTCTGTTTCTTGATCTGGGTTTTAGTTTCATGAGTGTTGTGGGGTGCATCAGTTCCTCCCAAAGAGAGATACTGAAGTCCTAACACAGGTACCTGAGAATGTGACCTTATTTAGAAATTGGGTCAGCGCAGTAGTGATCAAGCAAAAACAAGGTCATTCATGTGAGCTCTGGTGTTGTTATAAAAGGGAGAATTCGGATACATTTACATATGAATGTCACATGAACATGAAGGCAGAGCTTGGGACAGTACTTCAACAGAAACACCAAAGATGGCCAGCACACCTGTTTAGGGGCAGGTGGGAGAAAGGCATGGAGCAAACTCCTCCCAAAGCTTTCAGAAGGAACCAACCTTCAGAAGTTGACCTAAGACTTCTGAAGTCTCTACAACTGTGAAACAAGATTTTTGTTGTTTAGACCACCCAGTTTGTGATGTTCTGTTATGGCAATCCTGGCAAACTAATACCACGAAATAACCATTTTGTAGAAATTCATCAGGTTGTGAACTTATGATCAGTATTCTTTATTAAGATATAGGCCCCGAATAATACTAACATAGTGTCAACGAGCACAGAGCTATATTTTGAAGCTTTGAAAAGTGAATCACTTCATTAGATTTCAAACATATTGAAGTAATCACAAGGGAAATACTTGATTTCATAAACTACTAAGCTTATGAATGAATTGAGAAAAAAATGTTGTGGATATGTTTGCTGCAATAATGACAAGAAAAAATTTGTATTAAAAATAAAGAACTTGGGTATATGTATTTTAGATAACTAAAATAATATAGAAAAATAGACATAGTATATAAGTTGAGTATATAGAAAAAGAAATAATGCTCAACAGAACTAGAAATGAAAGAAATGCAAATTAAAACATAGCATCTTTTGCCTGTCAAATGGACATTTTTTATTTTTAAACAATAATATCCCATGCTGCTGACTGTACTGTGAAACTGACATCTACATTTGTTGGTGATAGGAACAGTGATAACAAACATTTTAATGTTTAGTATATGGCAGGCACTATATTAAATATTGGCCTGTGTACTCAAGCTCATACTTGAGTACAAGTGAAATATCTGATTTTTCACTGCACAATAACCCCACAAGTTTTATTCTTCCCACTTCTAGAAGAGAAAACCATGGTTCAGGAAAATTAACTGGCCTAGAGTTGCTCAAATAGAAGATGGGAAAAATAGAACTTGAACACAGATCTCAATAGAGCCAGACATTGAGACTTGCTGCCTCTGGTAATGTAAACTTACTATCTTTTTCCTTTGAAAATAGTTTGATAATTTGTATCCACAGCCTAAAAAGGTTATTAGCTTAATTTGTAGGACTCTATTCTTCCGTATAACTAGAAATGTCAGAGATTTAAGTGCAACTGACATTCATTGTGGAATCATTCATACTACTGAAAAAACAGGGAAATCCTGTGTCCACAATAGAAATGAATTTCAATGACTTGAGGTACCTCTGTCCTCAACATGGATAAAATTATAGCTAGAAAAATATGTTTCTGGAAAAGAATTGGAAGGACAC